TCAGCAGGAGGCCACCATGGCATTTTAGCTGTACCTCAGAGGTCCTCCTAGATCCAAAGCAGACCCTAAGAGCTAACCACTCGATCGCCCATTCTTGTTGGTGGGACACTGATGTTAGCTGTTAATTCACTGGACCAGATTCAGCAACAGATGGAAAGCAGTCGTCAATCAGTGTTTATGCCACAGCGCACAGACACTAAAAAAATTTATTTTTCTTCAATCCAAAGGGCCAAAACAGTACACTCCAAGTGTCCAAACTGCACATGCCAAGGTCTGGCACAGCTGGCAACAAGCCACAGTCAATAACCCTCATCAATGGTCCAATGAGACAGGTACCAAAGCCTTCCCCTCCCCATATTCACAAGTTTATCAGCGGCACCTAGTGCTACAGATCCAGTTAAGTGCTATGGTGAGGCATACAGATGTTGTCAGAACTTGTTGGCTGCAGAAAACAACATAAAAAATAAGTGGCCCTGCACAAGTCAGTCCAACACTAATTAAAACTGTCACAAAGGTACCTTGCTTTCTAATAACATTATCATGAAGCCATTTCCATTACTGAAGATACTCCAGCTCCCCACTGCTCCACATGATGACAAGTTGCAAAAGGCACAGGTAAAGGCCATTTAAAAATAAAGTTACAATTCCAAAATAAATGCTGAGAAAGGATGCTAAGATCTACAATTAAAGACATACTATTTAAAGGTGTACTGCAGGTTTTTGGGATCAGGTTTTTTTGGTTGTAGTGGTGGGGTTATTAAAGGGCTGGAGGAAAAAAAAAAATCTCTACAATAAGCCAACCTAAAATCCAGATACTGTGGAAACAAACACTACCTATTCACTCTGGATATTTTTCCCTTTTTAAAATAGTAGTTGGCTGTTACTGTAACTTCTTTTGGAACTACATATTTATTTCTGAAAGCATTTGTATCAAGTTTAAAATCACAAGCCATAGCACAAAGCTTACAAAGCAAGACTATGATGAACATCACTGTCAACCATTAAAACACGACAAGAAAAGAGCTGTTAACTATTGCTATAAATACACTCTATGTACAGATTTTAAATGTGTATCTTGCGGATCTGGACAACTGGCATTAGTGGTTTCCACATTATCAATATTTACAAAGTCTCCTAATGAAATTAAATTTTCAAGTAGACTGCAATAATATGTAAAAGTACAACTATAAAAAAATTTAGTCAAAATTTACACTTCAGCTTATGATTTGTAAATAGCTTCACAATGTCTTCCTTTAGAATTATTTTTTAAAGCTCTTCATCTTGACTGAAAGAAAAAACCTACTTCAATTTTGCAGCTGTAAATGTGTCTCAATAAATAAATGCAAGGAAATGGCGAATAACTTATTCTAAAATCTGGGCCAAGCAGATTAATTAGTTTACAAATTCATATTACTCAAAAAGTCAAGCAACATTTACTAAGTTTTCTATGTACTTTTAAATTTAAAACATGCAAAAATAGTACTAACTTTTCTTAAAATTATCATCTTAATTTTAAATGAACATGAGGAACCTTCCAAGATATATATATAATATGACAGTTTAATACAGTTCAGTAAGATTCTTTTTTTTCCCCCGAAATAAATATTCTAAGTTTCAGTCTTGTTTAAAAGCAGATATTCTGGGTAGGTAGACTTCCCAACTGTTTCAGTCTGCACACACGGAGCAAGCACTAACTATTAAAAATGTACTTTTTCAGACTTCACAGTAACAGTTTTTAGCAGTGACAATATTTTAAGTCACAAAAGTGAACTGAGAATATTTGCAAATACAGACTTACAGTGAATTTGTAGAACACCTCATTAATCTTCTGTCAGGTACATCAACAAGAACTTACCAATTTTAGGCTCTACATAATTTCACTGCATACAATTACAGTCCCATCTACTCTGAATAGGTAGTCCCTCCAAAAGAATGCCAAATGCTTTCTGAACAGAAAAATTCCTGTTTTGTATCAGATTATTTCTAGAACATA